TGCACTGCTTCCTTCCAGAGCTCGATGGGCGTCTTCTTGGCTTCCTCTTTGGCCTTTCGTGCAAGCTCTCTGGGATTTGTGCCTGGAGCCCATTTGCCATGACGACATTGTCCAGGTACCAATGTATGCTCAAGACCTTTTGGGTGTCGAGTATAGACAGCTGCCGTAGTCGTTCGTAGATTGCCATCTGGTCCACGACCTTGTAGATGTGCACGACGATGGCCTCTGTGTCCATTGCAACGTAGTGCAGTGTTGCGCCACTTCATGTTGCTGCCAAAGCCAGTCGCCTTCTGTATTGGATGTTGCTGCTCGTCGGTCAAACTATGCATGCACTGATCGACTCGTTGAAGAGCTCGATGACCCGGAACATGATGTAGGCGAAGTGGGCTCTCATTGTCATCTCACCACATAGCTGAACCAAGTGGCTGTTCAACATTGTACACGTGGCCATCTCTGGATTGTCCTTCTGCAGCTTCTTGAACAGTAGATATGGCTGCGTAGTCACGTAGACGATCTTCATGGCGTAGTGCCGGATGTTTGCCATTGCTGCTGATGCTCCAAGGGCTGCAGTCTGGCGCCATGTGCATGACAGCTGGGCAAAACTCTTCTCGGGCTTGGCGTATAGCATATGAAGATGACCATCATCGTTCAAATTCAAGCCATACCTGTAGTCAACAGGAAATGAAAGTTGTGTGGGCCAATTGGTCTGAGCCCAGAACGAGCGTAGAACTCCTCCGGGATCGCACGATATCTTTTCTTGAGTTTGGCCTGATCAGCATCATCTGGAAGAATGTCCTCAGAGTAACGGGGAAAATTCTCCTCGCCCTTCCAGTATGAGCCGTAGTGGTTCTCCTTCTTGCTGTCTGCATTGCAGTCAGGTGATGAGTCAGGCAAAATGCCTTGAGTGAATTCTGGTGATACTTGTGGTGATACTGTCGGCTTCTCTTCCTTCTCATAGTGCTTGGTCACTGCCGCTGTTCTTCTGCAAGTCGTCCTTGACCAAAGTTGCTGGTGAATCATCTTTCTGACGTTCGTCACTGATCTTGTCCTCAGCGAAGTGCACCTTCTTCTCCTTCTTGTCTGCATTGGGCTGATTGGAATTGCCTCGGTCACCTTCCATAGTTCTGCCTGTGCTTGGTGACTCTGTTGAGCGCAAAGCCGCAAAGCAATGATTGACCTTGACGTCGTTCCATTGCTCCATGCTCTGTTGTAGAACCTGTCGGCAGAAAAGGATGGCCTCTTGCTTCGTCTCAGCTGCAACTCTTCCTGTTACATCATGGTCCGTCGGCAGGATGTAGTGCCCTGAGTCGGTCAGCAAGAGGCGGAACATCTTGAGGGTAGGCGTTGCCTCTTCATCTTCTTCACTGCCAACGATCATCAAACCATCGCCGTTCTTGAACCAATTCATGAAGAGCTTGGCGTTCAGGCGCCGTAGGGCAGGATTGCCAACCAAGGCAGGACATAGTGAAGCTTGTCCACCAATCATCTCACCTGTGAAGACGACGTCGGAGCCACCCACACTAAAGCTCCATTGATGCCGCTAACAGGAGTCGTGCGGTCATAGACCAATTGATGTCGGAGTTCTTGCGCTGGGGGCCACAGCATTGGATCGTGTCGCTGAAGGTCTGCGCGCCGATGAGGCCAGAGGCTGCACCTGGGTGAATGATGAGGTTTGCTTGGCTTCTCTGCTTTCTCCAAGCCCTGATGGTACGTTGTCTCTTCTTGTTCAACAACTTCATCTTTCCGCTGCCAGGGTGCGTTGCTGCTGTGCTATGCATGAAGTCTTCATCGGAGGAGGAAGCAATGTTGTACTGCCCGGTCTTGGATGTGGATGCCAACAAAATGAATGGTGGGTGCTCCATCTGTGACTTCCTTTTCCGCCTCCACGATCATCTTTCATGGGACAGTCAGCTGCGTGGCGCCATCGACTGCCACAGTTGTCGCAACCATCATTGCTGCCCTTGCCTTTTCCTTTGTAGAAGTCGCCAATGGTCTCCCCTGCAGTGGATGCTTCCTGAAAAGGCGCTGCTGCTGTCGATGGAGGCTGTTCCCTCATAGAGCTGGATGGAGGTTCTTGAACTGGTGATTCATCATACCAGCAGTGCTCATCGTCCCAGAAGTAGGACTCCTCACCGATGTCTTCATCGTAGTTGTCGTAAGCATAGTCCTGCCAACCATCTCCGGGCCAATCACCATAGCCCGACCAGTTCTCATAGTATGCATCCCAGCTCTCATCATAGTCCTGCCAGGCATCGTCATCCCAGCTGTTCTGGTAGAAGGCCACGTTGTCTTCAGGCTTGTTTGGTGACAGCCTCAATGCCAAAGATCGAGCGTCGCTATAGCGTCTGTAGTCACCATGGACCTGGAGCTTGATGTCATCGATCTGCTTGGAGCTGAGGCCGGAGTTCTTGAAGAACAAGTAGAATTTCCCGACCTCATTCAGCTGCAATCCAGCTCGATCGCTTGCCTCCTCATAGCGGGTGTCAAACTCGACCGAGTACTCCGCCAGGCTGCCGCGTCCACGGACCAGCAAAAAGAAGCGATCAAGGCTCCGCGTCGCCAAGTCCTGGTCTTGTTGACCGAAAGCTTCCTTCAAGGCATTCATCAAATGCTGGATGCCACTTGGGATGTGCTCCATGAGGATCTCGCCCGTGACTGGGTCTTGGACTTGCTCTACTGAAAGGCGCGCAAGAGCTGAATCTCCTTGATCGTAACCTCCTGGACCATTTGGAGGAGGTGGTCGAGGAACCTTGAGCTGGCAAGCTATTCGATGAGCTGCTCCATGTAGCCTTCCGGCTATGAGAGGTCCGACAACTTCGTCCTCTCCTGAGTACACTCTGTACCAAAGCCTCAACTTCTCCAGGTAGCTGCGAAGGCTGTAGTTGGGATCTCCTGGAATCCAACCTGGAGCAACATCTCTTCTGTACTCATTCAAGGGCAAAGCTCCGGTGGAGGAAGTAGGAGGTGCTGCCATTGCCAATGCTCCTCAAAGGATGGATGAAGTGGTGCAAACCCCTCTGTGATGATCTCACCGTCTATGGCCGTGACCAAGCCGAAGGTGCCGACAAGGAAGTGGGTGTAGTCACCTGGATCAAATCCGGTCTCCCACGCGAACACTGATGTGGCTGCCGGCGTCAGCGCCGGCCCGTGCCACGAGTGCACGCGGAGCGACCGCGCGTCAGGCGCGGGAGCCGGGCAACTGAATGCCCGGCTCTGCTACCAAACTCGCTTCTTTTGGGCCCAAGGCCGGCCTGACTCTGGTGTGATTCACCTGACCTATGCAAATTGACTGAAAGATAGAAAGATAGACAGACAGACAGCCAGCCAGCCAGCCCCCCGAAGATATACCTTTTCAAGCAAAGTTTTTTTTGTCTGATACCCTTTGTCCGCCGACCCAGCAAACGGGGGGAAGGCGCCAAAGAAGACCGGTGGCCGAGCTGGCGGCATTGCACTCACCTGTTTGCCAGCCTATTTCGGTGTGATCTCATTCGGTAGCGCTGTCGCGAGGGAAGTGCTCACGCGGATACCTACGAACGCCAGGTTGGACAGAGACAAGGCCGAGCTAAACCTGCAGGTAAACTTTAACCTCTGTTGTGGCGAGGGAAATACTCACGGATACCCTTTCAAAAAGCAACGCTTGGCACTGTGTGAAATGCTCTGCAAGCTAATTTCGCCTGGGACAAGCAAGGGTCACATGTAAACCTGGAGGTAGACTTTAAGCCCGCATCAGAAAGCAACGTTTGGCCCTGGGCGAAGCGCTTTGCCATCCAATTGGTAATGCTTGCTGTGCACATGGCGAAGCCACTGCCGCTGGGGTGATACCCGGCCACATTTGTTGGGTCGAGCACGCGATCGTCCAACAACTCAGACATGCGTGGGGGCGCTCGGCCACAAACGACGCCATTGGAGATGCGGAATTTGTTACCACAGTGATCGGTTTGGCCAGTGTGGATGGAACTGCAGCAATTCTGCAAGCAGAACGAGCAAACATATAGGGATACATCTGTCCTCCTGGTCAGGGGCATGCGGCAGGATGCGCCGGTGCTGCTGTGGCATGAGCCAAAAACACATCGGGCAGGTTGGTTAATGGCAAGCTTTTGCGCGGAAGGTGGCGTTGACGCGACTGAACTGGGGGCCGTGCCGTGCCCGCCGTGTCTTCCTGCTTTTTCTTGTCCGGCGCGGCAACTGAAACAGACGCCGCGCCTGCCTCCTCATGGCATCGCCGGTGTGTGAACCTCTACAATTGCCAGGATCTAAGCCCCCTACGCTGCACCATTGGGAGGAGAAAACCTCTCTTTACACTCCCTAACAACTTTTTTGTTAACATACACACTCTTTTAACCTCCCATCCCTAGGGAACCGCGTTGGCCTGCTTAATGAGAGGCCTCTGTCAATCATAGAAACTAATTGTTAAAATGTAGAAGCCAATTGCTAAACCTCCCATCCCTTCTAACCTCACAACCCTTTTTGAACACCCCAACCATTTTGTTTAACAGCCGCTACCCGTTTTTTACCATCACCACTTCGAATATTAAAACCCCAACCATCTTTTGCCACCAAACCTCCGACCTTTTGCTTAAACCCCGCAAACCTTTTCTGAACCTCCTGCTTGTCTTTTGTCCAGTGGGGTCGGTCTGGGTCTGTGCAGCAAGAGCTTGATCGTCATATTTGGATATGATCTACAACAGAGGCTGAATGACATCGTACCAGTTGCCAACCGCGGGAATGCCAGAGCCGTCGGGGTGTGCATCAATGTGGAAGTGGTCACGGTCAGGATATACGGCGCGCACCGTGGCATCGTAAAGATGGTTGGATTGATGTTGCCAGCTACGGTAAAACCAAAGGCGTTGATCTCCGAGGGGTTTGCATTTCCATTTCTACCAAAGATGCAGCATGTATATATATATATATATTTATCTATAATATTGAGCTAGACATGCTATACACAGAATATACTGTGTATATATATATATATCAACTTTGGACCCTCCACACTGCGCCTGCCGCCAACGAGGCCAAAAGGAGGATGAATGGCAAAATGGATCCCTGCTGGGCCTGCTGGGCAACGCCTCAACCCTCTGCAAATGCCGCTGAAAGGCTTTGGCTACTCAAAGCACAAACAGTTTCAATCATTTGTGGAAAGCACCCAAGCTGTCTCTTCCGCCGAATTGATGGCTGCCTCCATGTGGCCTTGAAAGGTCATTCAAACTGCAAAGGCCCGGGCTTCTTGACTGTGTGAATGAATATGCTTTTAGTTCTGTGCGGTTTATCTCAACCCAGCCTTCCTCCATCGTATCACAGTTCTGTGGCACTTCGTGGAAAATAAAATGTATCTATTATCTATGTTAATCATTTAAGGCTGTCGAAAGTGGAAGCGACAAGGTTGGACCAGGCTCATTGGACTTCTGCTTCGGCTTAGCTTGGGACCGCTGGACCGCTGTTTTGTAGAAACGGTTTATTTGATTCTATTTGAGTCTATCTATCTATCGGTTTGCCTCTTGTTTTGAACTCTAAAAGTCACGGACTACAAGAAGGATTCCAAGTTGGTGTCATCCCAAACAAGATGAAGGACGGAGAGAGCTGGACACGACTGAACTGAAATGACCTTAAGCTCAGTGCATTTGACTTGTGCAGCTGTCTCACTTTGCACTATCATATTTTGCACGAAAAGCCCGCAATTGGTGACCGAAGGCCACGAGAGCTGCTCTTGCTTTGACGCAAGTGATGGGCAGCAAACCCCAGAGCATTTGATCAAAGGTGTAGAAAGCAAAAGCAAATCCAGAACCCTCGATCTATAAAACACAAAATGACAAACGCAAAGCAAATAATCCAACGATCCCAAGCAAGAAGTGATTAATTATGACTGACAAACCAGGCCAACTAATCACTTCTCGGCATTTCTACCTGGCGAAACTCAGCTCCGAGGTCCCAAAGACTGACTCGCCACGCAAATCGATCAAAACCAGGCAAACAAGTGCAAACACAGCACTCAAAAGTCGTTTTATCCAAAAGCGCGCACACACCTCAACAATGTATCTGATCCGGACTTGATTTAGGTTGTACACCTTCCAGGAAGAAGTGGAGCAGCCACTTAGGAGGTTTCAATGTTGAAACCCAGAGATACTTTTCAAACACATTGCAGGTCTGCCAAGCGATTTTTAAACGCAGCTAAGCTTGGGGCAACATAGTGATTATGTTGTAGAACGCCTTCTGGTCCCTGTGCGCAAAGGCAGGATCGAGTATCATCGGGCGTGGAAAAAGAAAAGGAATCAATCCGGAAATGTTTGATCTCTCTCGCATCCTTTGGCTGTCACCGCTGCTCCTTTGACAAAGCTTGTATGCTGCCAGCCCTTGCCATATTTGCATACAGAAATGATGCAGCCCCATGACTGGCACTGCCAAGAAGTGGTGGTTGATCACTATTTATGATGGAATTGCAAAAATCTTCCGTGGGGCTTTCGCGGCCTGAACGCGAAGCATGGTCCTAAAGCCATGTCTATATAGTCAACATGAGCTGGAACAAAATGTTTGTGTCACAACATAACATCTTGCTGCATGGCCCCGCACGAGGTTGAAAGTTGTCACAGCTACTCAGGGTCACTTGCAGCATGTGCAGTTTCTGCGCGACAAGCAATATCCTAAGCGCTTAGAATAGAGTCAGGCACAACTCAGCTCAATCCTTGTGCCAGCTATGCAGCTCGGGGTATGTTGGGGTGAACCTGGACTTTAGCAGCACATTCGCGAAACTTTCGCGAAATTTCACTGGTGATTTCCCCGGAATAGGATGCGCAAACGTCTGCACAGCCCGTCAGAGCTGCGGGTCGTTGCCTCACTGTCAGGGCTGCAAGGACAAGTTGAGTTGTCAGGTTGCTAGTCTGTGACAGTGGGGACAGGAATCGGAGAATCTTTCACGCACTGTGGGCAAGGAAATCTGAAGCCTTTCAACTGAAAGAGTACCACCAGATGGCCAAGAGTCAGGCACCAAATGGTGCATCAGAGGCTTGCATGACCATGTGCACACACATGAGAAGGTGGCTAAGTCAGAGCATACGAGGACATTTCCGCCCACCGGCTGTTCTGGAAGATAGCCTTGTATTTCCTACCACTTGTCGGTCGGTAGAGAGGAACACATATGAAAGTGAAGACCTTCGCTAATCTTTCGCCGAAAAAATGGATACTTTCACGAACCGCATCGCGAATCTTTCGCAAATATTTTAACAACATCTGAAAGGCCGTATTTTAGAAAACTCCTTGCACAGGGTTTTAGATCAACTCTCAAAGTACTGGCAGTGTTAAAGGAGGCAAAAGCTTGTACTTTGGATTGCCTTGAGCAACGCCAATGTGTTGCTGTCAAGTCATCGCAAGGCCTTCTGCAGCTGACCTAAAGGAACGGTCATGGCATCCAGCCTCAAAGGCATCAACAAAAGCTTCAAACATGATAGCCGTGCTTAAAAGGTAAAGCTTATGGTTTGGTGTTTGTTTTATTTTGTTTGCTGTCAAAACGGTCACCAAGCTCAAGACTTGCATGCTCCACCAGGGTCTGGTGTCCATGTTCCTCTACCAATGACTGACCTGAAAACTTTCAATCTTCAACTCCCTTTCTCCCTTTGACATCAAAAGGGCCTGTATTAAGCACAAACCGCCCGCATCGAAGGTGCTCAGGCATAGTAAGCTCGTGTCGTAGTACCGGCCCGATATACTGTAGTGCTCAGTTAGCTCAGCTCGGGGAGGCCTATTTTTGAAGTCGCAGACCCCAAAAGTTAAAATAACCCGTAATAACCCTCAGCTTCTCACGTTTTCTCCAAAGTGCACAAAATTTGCCTGTTTCTGGGCAACATCTTCCGAACAAAGATTTAGCTTGGGCAACTTGGCCTATGGCCCCAACTTGGCTCAAGTTGGCCCATCTTCGGCTCAACTTGGGGCTACTTAACACCAACTTGCGCCAAATGGACCCCAAAATGAGCCCATGTTCCGAAGATGTTGTTTATGCACTGATGAAAAAGTCAAAGGCTGTTGGTTTAACTTGTTCATTGCTTTTCGGTCCGTGACCCCCAAAAAATCTAGCTTGAGCCCAATCGAACCCAAGGGCCTCAATTGCCCCACGTTGGGCCTAAATTGGCCCAACCTGGACCAACCTAAAGCAATTGGGGCCATTGGGGTGCAACTTGGGCCAAGTCGACCTCAACATGGACCCAACAAGTGGAACATGGTCCAGAATGGTGTTCCATATCGGCCAAGTTTGTGGCATGTTGGGTTCAACTGTGAATCAATGAATCAATCCGACGCACCATACTGATACTATCCTGGTGCGGGCAGTGAAAGACAATGTACTGTTTCTTTACTTCAGGATGTTGCTGTGTATTCAGCGGAAGCTTTTCTGCTTGTTGATCAGGAGCATCAAGCCTAGGAGCCAAACTGTCTGTGAAAACCTGACGAAGCAAATCCCGGATGACGCAACTAAGTTTCTGTACTGCCTTGAGCTGCCGAGGGCTACCTCACAGATTGACTCAATATTGTCTTTGTCACTATCTTGCGTTCATAGTTTTGAGACTTTGTGATCTTTGTGAAAGACTTACGCTTCTTCGATCTAGGTTAGACCCACCTCCGCCAGCAGGAACAAAGTTTGCCCGCTCTCAGCAATGGCTTCTGAGCAAATTTTAAAGTTATATAGTTCTTTGTTGCACTCTCAACGGCAGCTAGTACAACTCCATCATTCCGCCTACAGCGTCAAAGAAATACAAGCCCTTGCCAAAGGAGTAGCCAAGCTCAGGTGCCTTCACAAAAGGAGACCGAATGCCGGAAGTGAGGCAACATGTGGTCATGACAAATTAGAAAGGTTTTCCCACAAGTCCCACAAGTCCGAAATATGCGTGCTAGCCTCCTTGGGAGGAAGTCTAAAGCCATTTGCCAGCAAGCTGAGCCACGCAGTGAAAGATGTCCTTAGAAGTGCAAACAAAAGGTAGACCTGAGGTCAAGTCTAAGGCTATCTATTCAAGCTTGTGACCGATACCACAGTAGCAGCCGTTTTGCTGGGGCCTGGATGAATGCAAGGTGGCAGTTGCTGTGACAGAGTGCATACTACAAGCAGAAAAAAGAGACAGCTTGGAAGTGCTTGCTTGGCTGCCTTTGCCAGCCTCGTTGAGTCTGCTGGCCTCAACTTGCGATGAGGCAAAGTGAATTGACGACAAAGTCGAGCATCCGACCTGTTGATGGTGAAGACTCTCTTAAGCTTTGGCCTTGATCCATCTTGCAAAACATATCTTAAGCACCTCTCTGCACCTGGCCAAGGCTGTGGCGTGGACACACCACGCAGGTACCTCATGTGAGTGATGAGACGCGTCTTTTTCTGATGCTTCTTTTTCCGATTTGTTTGGTTTTGCATCCAAGCGAATTAGCTATAATAGCTGGACGACGAATGTCTCCGTGGCATTCTTTTCTCCGGGGTCGGTTTCACGTCGCCAAAGAGAGCGGCGTCCGAAGCACAGCCTCCTTTCCTAGATAGCTTCGTCAAACTGTGTCCACCTTCAGCCTTCTGTTGAACATTGAAAGTATTGAAGAACAGTGAAGATATAAACATTGTGCAGAACCATGTATACAATTATATATATATATGTACTGAGGAAGAGGAAAGGTAGATCATAGGGGGTGAGTATACATACATTATGGGCTGTGAAACCTGAAGGTGGCATTCAGCTCAGCCTGCTCAAATGCATTCTATTCAAATGCCCGGATGTTTAAATTGTAGTTCCGAACGCACACAGCAGTTCTCTGTGCCAGCTTGCACAACGGTGTCTGAGCAACAAGCACTATTCGCGAAAACTGGGAAAGGACTTTACCAGCGTGGAAACAAGAAGAACTTTAGACCTTCTATTCTTTCTGTTCTCTTTCTTCTATTTTTTTCTGTTTCATGTTTACCAGTTGTGGCCGGCCCCTGTGTATCAAAGCAAAGCATCACGCCGTCATCTGAACAATGTCCACATACAGTGTCAGTGGCACCAATGCTGAGCCAATGACCTCTATGGTGCGAGAGGCGAATAGTTACTTATTGTTTCTACTAGCTTCTTGTTACTACTAGTAAGGCACTTGTTACTAGTAGCGATGCCCTTTGCTCCTAGTAGCGTCCTTTAATACACAATCTAAGGACTCAGGACCAAAACATTCAAAGTTTCGGCCTACCTTCTACTGATGCTGAAGAGGGAGGAACATGCCGCTCGGTGCTTGTCAGATTTGCCCAATTCAGGCAAAAGGCGATGAGCGCCCAGTCCAGTCGTGGAGAATCTTTCACCAGCTTCAGGTGTAACATTGCTGGGAAAATGATGGCCAATGGTATACCTGCAAAACTCAATCTCAATGCAATATAATATATACATAATGTCCGAGAACACAATGACATCACTCCCACTCCCAACAAAATCAGTCTGTAAGCCCAGGTACTGCAAAAGCTTCCAAGCATGGAGATAAAGTATTCCAAGTATGGCGCCATCACAAATGCAAAAGTTCCTAGGCATTTGACTGGAGAAGCGCTGTTCAGCCTGCGCGCTGAACGAGTCGTGATGCCTATATCAAGGCTGTAGGGTATTGTAAAGTGCTGTCAGCACTTGCTTGTGTGTGCGTGTGCCTTCGGGTAACGAGTCAAGACTTCAACAGAAACTGTCCTACACTCTTCTCAGTAAAACCGAGCGAAATGCAAAGCAAACTGCAAAACCAGTCCAGGATTCCCATAAGGAATGTCAGGAAAGTCCGGGACAGGTTCTTCAGCCACTTTCGTCTATATGTGGATGGACCATCATTGAACAATTTCGACTCGACAATTGTGAAGGTGGGAAATATCGCCAAAGGAAAGCCGCACGCAATTGCAAAGAAGTAAAGGATCCTTAGCAGCAACACCCCACTGCTTGTGTTTGTAAAAGCAGATAATGTCAGGCAGTCACTGTGTGCATTTCTTCTCATCAGAGTCTCTGAATAATCACACCAGATATTCCAGGGAGTTCATTGAGCACCACAGGCTTCACATCATTGCCCCAAGCACAGTAGCCAAGAATACCTTTCCAGTCGGACAAAAATTGAAACAGCGGTCAAAAGCCATCAAAGGCCTTAAAGTACAAAGCAAGGCATGCCTGTGGCAATCCGTCAAGAATAATATGACTCGGGCGGATAGCCATTCTTCGTGAAAAAAAATGCAAGTCCTGGCTAGGACTGCTAGGATGTAGAAATCAACCGTTTCCAGCCTGAAGAGTGTAGAGTGTTGTTGCACTACAGGAGGAAACTACGAAATTTTGCACAAAGGGGAAGAACTATTGAGAAAAACATCATGGTCGTCAAAGCAGACTTTTCACAATTGAGAATCGCGGGATTAGAGTAACTCCCAGAGTTACAGGAGCACTGACTTAGTGCTACCAATGGCAGGGTAAACTGCTCAGCAGCAATTGTTCAAGACAACAAAACACTGGTTGCTGCCAGGTTCGCCAAATCCCGTCAGAATGATCACAAAAAAGAGCATCATTCCTGATCCGGTCCAACTTGTGCATTCGATTCCAGGAATGATAATTAGTGGGGACACAGGCTGTAAGCTGTGTGTGGCTCAATAGGGCACACGCTTAAACCCAGCCCAAAGCTCCCACAAGCATATGAGGAAACAACTCTGGTTTCTCCATGCCCTCGCGAATCGGGATCACCAACGCAATGCCCTGGCAGGCGACATGTGTCTGTGAGCGAAGCATTCGATAGAAGAGCCTCTTTAATTTTGCTCGTCCGAGCCAGCCGGTTGCGAACCAGGTCATAATCGTGTTGTTCACTTGGACAAAGGAATGGCACGGAAGGGAAAGTAAAGATAGAAACGAATCGACCCTTCAACACGCGGTGGGCATGTTGGTTGTCACAGTAGCCAGCTCCAAAAGTCATATAGCAAGACTCAAGCCAAGAAACAAAAATGCTAAAACGGAGAAGACAAACAGAAAAACGCGAATTTTTCTAGCTATGGTCTGTATTGAAAGTTCTTCACACTCCTTCTCGGTAGTGTGAGCGCTCAATGGCTATTTTAACTCACTCTGCCACCATGGTTCATTCTGTTTCCATTATACGTTTGTCGAATTTCTCTCCCTCTAAGGAACGGGGTTCCTTGAGTCTTCAGTTGCTGTGTCTTCTGAGGTTTCAATCACATCAGAACCTTCTTTTTCTGGCTCATCATCATCTTCTTCTTCATCATCTCCAATGTAGAAGTGATCTACTCGAATTCCATGATCTTCTGCTTCACCATGTCCTTCTCGCAGGTCAAAGATGATTGGCTCACTGTTCTCAATCCTTCTGGCCACTGGTTTGGTATCTGCTGAGCTACTTTGCTGACTCACATTGGCTTGCTGTTGACCAACTGTATGAGTCTGAAGCTCCTCCTGAAGATGAATGGGCTGTATCACTTGCAACCTGTCGAAAATATATAGTTTCTCCAACAGTCTCGAGCCAGATGTCCTGGCTTCCCACTAATGTAACAAGCTGCCACACCTTTTCCGTTTTGGTCTTTACCTTTACCTTTGCCCTTTTGGACACCTTCTTTTCCTGTCCTTTCTCCTTTCCCTTTCTTTCCTTTGCCTTTGGCATCTTTACCTTTGCCCTTCTGATAGTCATTCTTGCCTTTCTAACCCTTCCTTTTGTATCTTGAGCTGGATCAACGTCCATAGGCATGGGTCCTTGATAGTCTGTACTGCTACTTGCCACCATTGAAGTAGCACACTTCTGCTATTGAACATTGTCAAAAACTCAAGTAGGATTTGAGCTGTCCACCTACACATCTCAAAAGAATGCAAGATTTCAACTCTTCTCGAATTATCGCCTTTGCTTTGACCGTCTCATCAAATACCTCTTCAGGCTTAAGAAATTGAGGTTGCAGAGCGCTGTTCATAGCAAATGCTGGCCATGTAGCGGCTGCTCCCAAGAGCGCTAATCCTCTTGCCTTCGAATTCCAACTCGTCCAGGCATCAAACCCATTGGAGTCTTCTACAGCTTCACTAATTGTAGCGCCCTGCCCCTCATCAGCGAAGCTAACAATCCATAGAGCTTGATGCACCAGGTCTTCTCTTCTGTAGTTGCCAAGTCCATGTCAAAGCTCTCATTTGGCTTATCGCAAATCTCTTTCAAGCCCTTCATGTAAGCCTCATCCACTGAGCTCAAATATTTCTAAAAATAACCGTGACCACTCTCTGAAGTCTCTTCTTCTTGTGACTTGTAGTCAGATAGATCGGGCTTTGCGATCAACTTTGACAACCTGTCGCGGTTGTTTTCTTCTCTTCAACTGCTTTCTTCACTGCCTCAGCTGCTGATGTTGTTGCTGCTGTACTCTACGCTATAACTTGACGGATGTCTCTGATTTCATCCATCCTTGTCGCGCAATAATGCCCTGACACAATGTACGGGGTACAGCGCGCAGCTCACAACAATTTGTCACCAGTCCAGCTATTTGGGTTCCAGAGGCCCCAAATCTATGGCTCGAAAACGCTCCCGGATCCCAGTGGCCTAGGGGCTTTTCTCTGGAGCTCAAAGGACGTTATTATCTTGGCCATCACTCTATTCAGCCGTATGCTGTACATACAACAATGTATGAAAAAGCCCTTTGCAACAACATCGAACGTTATCCCCACCCCACCCCACGCTCCTCCTGCCGGATGTCTATTCAGCCATAAATTCATCTGAGACCCCATGTGTATTGATCAGAGGGTTACTGATCAAGCCATGTCTGCTCACTGTTCCTCATTCCAAAACATATGGTTTCAAAATAGAAAATACCATAAACTATCATAAAATATATATTCCTTCTAAAAAATACATTTCCATTCTTGGCTGCACCCTTTTCACTCACTTTGTCTTGGGTACTTTGTCTTTGAGGGCATTGCCTCCATGATGCCTTGCAAAGTCAAGAGAAGATCATCTTTGATGACACCAGGACTCTGCATAGCACCCTCTTCAAGTCTGAAAGGAGCATCATCTTTGACAAACTCCCACTTCCTCCACAACCAATCATGAATCTGACTGAGTTTAGATTTCCAGTCACCTGCATCATGACAGTTGAAGGATCTGCTGAAAGATTTCTGGGCATATGGTGGTGTTTGCCACCCAATGCTATCAGATGGAATCCTGAAGCTGCCAACCCATCCTTAGCCAAACAATTGTGGAGAAACCATGGGGTTCAAACAGGCACTAGTAGACTATATGGTGGATGCATATGCAAAAAGAACCCCAGGTGTAAACCTTTCCTTGGGTAAATCAACCAAAAAACAAGAGTTTTGCATTGCACACCCAGGTGTCTGTGGTCCATATGGTTGAGAAC